GTTAGCATCTGTTGAGGCTACCTTCTGGTTGCCTGCTCTGATAACATCGACATCACTGGCTTATGAGAACAGGCAATGCAGGAAATCAGTGGACTTCTCAAACGCAACGTCAAGTAAATTGGCAGTGCACCAAACATCGGTACGTCAGTCCTCTGCACAGACCTTCAGCATGACGTTTGATGGCCTGCGCCTAGCACATTTCCTATACGAACAAAGACGAACTGAGACAGAAGCTTATCACTGAAAACAATACTGTAACATGTGTTGCAGAGGATCAGTGAGGTGCAGAAGAAAATTGCGGTTCAATCGTACTTAGTAAATAGCAGTCAAGGTAAAAATGCGTTATTGATGAATACTTAAAGGAGACATAAGGAACCTCTACTGGTACTTGGTACAAGTTAGCAAAAGGGGCTTTAATTCAGCAGCCCACGCAGCAGCAACTTTCACCACGTGACAGTACCATTTACGGGTTTCAGCGAATGGTTCGATCATGTGACCAGGAGGCCAGGAGCAGGCGACCACAGAGCAGTTAGTCATGTTAAAACGACCAAACTGTTTGTTGCGCCAGTTAAGTAATTCCGGACAAGGTTAAGGCATAATGAGAGTGCTTCGTACATAATCTTCTCTCCATTGGAATACAATCACAACAGCTTGTCAGACAAGACAATAAAAAAGAGACTATACATGCTTTATAGACCCTGGTTTGCCCATCTACTTCTACTTAAAAGATAGGTAAGCTGACATATCGCGGATTCTTTGGAGACTGCACATGAAACAGGATCAAAATACTACTAATTAACAAGTAATTATTGACGTGGGGCTTATCAACACAGAATTTTTGGGAAGGAGAGGTGTTGTAAACATAGGTTAAATGAGTACTTAAACATTAGTTGCATAAATTATACGGTGTCGCTTCTGAGATACTGATACTTGAAACAACATGACCTACTTCTCCCTCCAGGTTTCTACATATTCATAAGCCAAAATTAAGTAAATTCTCCTTCTTGCGTAGCTGCTATTAATTACGATACCCATTTTAAGTTCAAATACATGGAGATGAAGACAGCTGCTTTGAAGAGATGGCTGAACTCGCAACCGAAGATCGTGAGTTCGAATCTTAGCGAACAAATCGGCCTTTCTCATCCGATGTGGAAGGAAACAGGTAAAAGTACGGTGTAGACGTTGCTAGCAAAACACTGTAATACAAAGACACTTCTGAGTGATATAATCGCATCTGAGTCTGGCATAAGTTCCATTACGAAACGACATCATAAATACCGCATATCATGGAAGTACATAGGTGACCAATGAACCACACTTCTCTTTCTCTCTCTCTCTCTCTCTCTCTCTCTCAAAATTTCTCCATTCTTTTAGAGACACAGGAGAAGGTAAGAGTAGAAAATGCGTCTGATTTAAAAAATTTAAAAAATTCAAGTTTGAAGGTTGAACACAAGTCTTTGAATGCAACATTTTACTATCATGCATATTCTGACACGTTAATCGTTTGTCTTGGTGAAGAGAACAGCCTTCTATGAAGAATGTCAAAGTGAGTATCGACAAAATAAATATACCTCAAATGCTTTCCCTCACACACAGTCCACTACAGTCTACGCCAGTAAGACACGTCAGACACTCTGCACATTACAGACTAACAAAAAACAATACAGTCATCCTGTGTCTGTAAGTAGTCGTTGTGGTGTCATTGCCATTTAGGGCTAATAGCAGAGAAGCACACGTTTATTGTTTGACCTTTACGGAGTATGAGGTAGAGCGACGAGATCTCGCTATTCGTCTATGGCGACTAAAAAGAATAGAACCCTGAATTTTGCCCTTCATATAGAAATTAGATTTCTAAAGCAGGAACAAAAATTGGATCTCCTCACCCAAATCAGCAATTCATCAACAAAACGTCTGGGGTTCAGAGAAAGCATTAAGAGTTGCCATAGTGACACGGGAGAAAGGAATTCACTGTCTAATGCCATGGCGCCTGTTTTCTTAATTTGTTCGCTGCTTTCCTTCATAGGCGTGGACTGTGTGAATGGATTTTCAGAGCTGCGGCATGTTACCATTCTCGAAACTGCTTTTCACATGTGAATTTGCTAGAAATTCAGTTGCTAATCGCTCGCAAGTAAATGAGGGTGAGGGATAGCCGAACAGGTGTTCAAAAAGATTGCCCATACAAAACTATCCATATGCCTTAATCACGCTGTTATCTGTTGCAAGTTCAACGCTCAGGGTAAAAATTTATGCATCAGCGAACACTCTTCTGTGAGGCCTACGAATAGCATGTCTAAGTTAGCAGTCATAATTGGTTATAGAGTAAAGTCAGCACGATTAACCAATTTTAAAATTTTCCTTTTGATATTATTCAAGGTTGTTACCGAGGTCAGTTATGATCGGAGTAGTAAAGTTCCTCTTTCGATGACTGAGCGATTAAACTAAGAACTAAGTTTGTTTTATGTTAACCTTCAGCCGAATTTAACTCGAGGGAATCCGTAAACAAGAAAATGAACTTGTATAATATTTGATCAAGGCATAATACATAGTTTTACAAGGGTCAACAACCTGAATGGACCGCCGCGCGGGAACAATCACTGGCCAACAAACGCTCGGAAAAGAAGAAAAATAGTAAAACGAGTACAGTCTACAGCGCTCTGCAAAATAACACCCTAAACTCGGTTAACCACAAGACGCGGTTGGTCAAAATGGTCAAATTACTTGACCAGTGATGGAGGTAAAGAGCAGAGAACAGGCAGAATTGGTAAACGTAGGCTAGGGTTCATGGCGCACCCGCAGCGAAAAATAGTCAAATAAAATATGCTAATCAGCAGTAATAGTATATTCCTTTTGAATCAACTACCCATCCATCCGTAGCTAGTTTCAGAGGTTATGATCAAGATCCCTTGTAGCCAAAGTTTAAGATGTACCAGAAGAAGAATTGCCTGCGGCATTTTTTCAGTGATTTGGAAAACACATTTCATTTACCAAATTGTGCCTCTTTTTAAGATGCATAAATGAGATTAAAGAGCAAACGTTTACTAGCTGGTTGATCTGCAGCTTCGATGAAGCACATCTGTTACGAACTGAACGTGGATACAAAGGGAGATCTGTGCCGCTAATTATCTGCTGCTAATGTAGCGTTCTGTTGTGTGCGATCGAAATATTTACCTCATTGCGCTGCAGCAGTTTCCTGAGATTTATGAATAACGCACATCGATCATGTGCTCCAAGAATGACAAGAGTTTGTTTAGAGAGGTCATTCAAAACTCGGATCCAATTCACATATAAAAGCTTCAGTTTATTCTCATGCTCATCTAGACTAATATGATAGCGATTGCTGAAAGAACGAAGTAACAGTTCGGCTTGGTCCATGTATGAGGTGCTGCCAGATGTACAGTAACCCTTTGACCGAGTATTACTGTAAATCTAGCTGGAGATAGCCCGAAGAAATATTACCTGACGTTTGAAATGACATCTGCATGACATTAAGAAAATGGTGAATCACGGCTGTAAATCAAGGTGAAGACGTTGCTGATTTCGGCTTTACTCTAGTTCCTCTTAAAAAAAGTTTTTCCTCTTTGATCGTCACTTGACGAAGGAAACCTGTTACAAAGCACATCATAAGTGGTTGTTTGTCTACGGCTCATGGAATGAAACTGTTTCCATACAGTAATGTCTTGTTTGCTCATTATTGTAAATAATCATAATTTTATGAAGAAGTATACTGAAAACGTGATCCTAACTAGAAGAGCAAAACAACGAATTTGAAGTATGAATGAATGAATTGCACAAAAACAGTGTTACTTGCCGCAAGGACTTCTGGACGATGTCCATGGAGCACGAAGGATTGGAGGCAATGGCTTCAGGGTTTGAAGGTCATTCTGATCGTCGAAAGGCGTAACACAAAGCACAGAACTACCAGAGGCGCCCGTCGCTGCTTTGGCAGAACGGCACGACGTTGATCGATTCGTGAGCAAGTGTTGCGTGTTTGTGAAGAGGACTACGAAACCTGTCGAAAGCACGGGAGTAACAGATTGGCTGATCTGGTGGGTGAGAAGCACAATACGGTCAACCGGACAAACGACATGCAAAATGGTCACATAACGACTGGAATCTTTAAAAGAAGTGACCATTGTTAAAGAAACAGATTCAGTTCGAAATCTCAGCTCGTCAGAACCTTCCACCTATGACGGAGGGAAAAGAGTCGGTTTGCAGCGCCAGCTAGGTAACAAACGGACCTCTCGCATGCGAACCAATGAGACCAATGTCCATTGTTCCAGTGACCACAGAATGATGGACGACAACCACAGCTGCATGTCAAGACTCACAGACGGCTTATCGCCAACGGCGGCAGCGTCGTG